TGACTCCACCCTCGCCACAGGCCACTGGGAAATTGCAGAGGGTCTTGATGGAACACTTAATGGTTTTCGCCCCTATCTGTGCCAAATAGTGTATGGTCATTCATTGTATATTTATTTTTTATAATTCCCTCCTGTAGCATCTTAGAGACCAACTAAGTTTGTTATTGGTATGAGCTTTTGTGTGCATGCACACTTCTTCAGATACCTTCAGATACTTACATTTATTGTTTCTTTTATTTTTTTAAATATTTAATTCTATTGTGTTACAATTGAATTCCGTAGCATACTATAGAATTGAAATGGTGCAGGTTTCCCACAAAGCATCCTGAATGGCCACTTGTGGTCCATGAACCCCAGTTTGAGAACCTCTGGTTTAGACAAAAAGAGGTGCTTCTTCATTTAACCAACCGGGAGAGGGACTTTTCAGTAGTGGCACCTGGTTACCTAATAGCTTCTACAAGGAGGTTTGCATGGCAACAACTTTTGGGCATCCGGTGTTTCCACAAGCCTATTAAATAACAGAGATATTCTGAGCCTCTCTGTTTAAAATATGTTTCTAATGAGGGGATGGGCAGCAAGTTCTGCTTTGCTGAATTTATGCAAATTTCATCCCTCCCTTTTAAAAAAATAGTTTTGTTTTACTATATATTTCAATTGTTTTTACATATTTTTTGTAAGGCTTCGAGATAGCTTCATGGTATGGAACATCATACAAATATAGTAAATAAATGAACAATTAACTTTTACCTACATCGCCTTCTATGAGTTTCAGCTGGTAAGCCGGCCATGCCCTTTCCTGGACAGAGACAGCTTGACCCATACATTAGTAACCTCTAGACTGGATCGCTGCAGTGAACTCTGTGTGAGGCTCCTCTTAAGGTTGGTTCAGAAACTGCTGCTAGTTCAAAAACGCAGTGGTCAGGATGCTCAGTGGTACATCCTACCACACATTTATAGCATTTGTGTACTAGAGGAGTTTCACTGGCTGCCTATTTGCTACCAAGTCAAGTATAAGGTTCTGCTGCTAAGGTCTAGTCAATCTGAGTGATTACCTTCTTCTTTACAATCCAGACTATTCACTGAGATCACCAGAGGAAGCTCTGTTAGTCATGCTGCAACCATCAGAGATTTGTCTGATGGGAAATACTGTGCAATAGCCTTTCCTTAGATATATGTAGGCCCTTATGGTAATGGTGTTTAACCAGCTGGTTAAAACATACCTATTCATGACAACATTCTCAAGCTTTGATTTTTTAGTACTGGCTCTATTAGAGATATCAGATATCTGTAGTATTTGTGTGGTTTGTTTTCTTTTGTACTGTATTGATTTTATGCTGTAAACTGCCTTGCTATGGAATGTAAATATTCTAATATATTAAAAATGTAAGTTTATTGCACAATGCAATGATAAACAGGACATTAGAACAAACAAACCAATATAAAATAATCAGACTTGTCCAATATCACATTAGAAGGGGAAAATACCATGCATTCTCATTATACAATATAAATGCCAAACATATAGTACTGATCACAACAGCGGACTTGTCATTGGCAACCTTCTTTAAACCTTGGAGACAGTCAGTGACATATTTAATTAAATACAATCTGGAGTAAATAAAATCTGGATAGAAGGTGGTCTAGGTTTTTCTGGTGAGAAATAAATGAAGAGAGACTAGTCATTACAAAATTTATCTCTGGTAATGTTGTCTCTGATTGCTCTGCAATGCTGTGTCTACAAGTGCAACCTTATATGATTGCCAGACCTTTAAAAATATTTTAGTTCCTGTGATACAGTTTTAGCTCCAGTGATTTCTAGCCGTTTTTATCATTTGTATTGCATTTCATTGTGTCAATTTTTTTGGTATTTGAGTTTTATGGTTGGGTTGGGTTGGGTGTTTAAGGTTCACAGTGAGGTTTGTTAGTTTGTTGCACTCTTATGCCCTTTAATTGATTTTGTACAACAGCTAGAGATACAATGTGCAGCACAAGCACAGAAGTAACAATATAATCACAGTTTACCTTACGTTTAAAGCTTCCAAATGTTACCAGGTTGATGTGGAACCAGACCACAGGGCTGCCATTTTTTAATGTATACCATGATGCATATTGTTATTTCCATTGCTGGTGCTGCCTAGCTATCAGAGGTGGGCATAAGAACACAATATTAGCACGCTGGTCCAGGCCACTGGTCCATTCAATCCAGCAGCTTGTTCTCGCAGTAGACAGGGAGAAAAGCTGTTCTCTATCCACTTTCTCCATGCCACGTATAATTTTATGAACGTCTATCATTTCACCTCTAACTCACATTTTTTGGGGAGGAGGGGACTAGATAATTCAGGGATTTCCTTATCAGCAGAGCTTCTAAACACAGGAACGTGGACCTAAAATTTAGACCACTGGGAAGATTTTGGGTGGCTAAGCATCCCAGGTACGAATCAGGTATCTGTGGTACACATTTTTAAGCAAACCAAGCACCTGTCCTCTTGCAGAGATTGCCAAAGCCACTTGGAAGTGCTCCATCATGGCAAGGGCCCAGGCAGGTGTGCTCAGAAGACAGCATGTTTATTCACAGAGGACCAAACAAGCACATCAAGCAAAAGTTAACCCACCTTCCAGATGGACTTTCAACCAAATGTTCTATGAGTTTCCAGCATGTAATTGCACAGCCATCATGAGAGAAGTCACCCTTAAAGCCACTTGTGAAAATGGCCTCAAAAATATACCGACCCTGTGCTTATGATTAACTGGGGTGTGCAAGGGGCAGAAGTCACACTGGCGAAGTGGTGATATTTGAGTGTTCCCAGAGGGTCCAGATGTAACACTGAAAACATACCAGTTGTTTAGACTGTAAATGTGAAGGGCAAAAAAAGGGGGGGGAGGCTGCATAGAAAGGGGGAAAGTGAAGGGATAGTGTGAATAAGTTGGGTATGGTGCATTGCAACCCTGTACAAAGGAGGAAACCTATTAGTGGGCACTAATGTGGCTAGACATTAGCGGAAGTCCGATTTATATGCACTACGTTCTTCTCAGAACATGTGCTTTGTGTGTTTGTTTGCATGAATGTGCATGCAATTCCTTTTCCTCCTGCAACTCCTTCTGCTAGCATACTTTCAGGACTGGATGTCTAAGTAAGGGACAGTCCAGAATTACATGTTCCACTCCAGACAAGGGCATGCTGTCTAATTCACATTGTACTCATCAGTGGTTGATTATATAATCCTCCGTTCTTTCTTTCTGTCTATCTATCTATCTATCTATCTATCTATCTATCTATCTATCTAGACAAGGCATCTACTTTTGACCCAGGCGCTTCTTAAGTGCTGATCCTGTGCCCAGAAAATATTACTCAGTCTGCACTGACCCTTGCTTAGATTTTCTTCACATGCTTCACGTGAGCTGCAAATTGCCGCAGAAGTCAGCTCTGGCAGTTAAAAAGAAACATGGGCTCCTTGCTGGAGCATCTTCTATTTGGAAAAAAATCTCTGTGGTTTAAAGTTGTCACCTTGGACTGAAATATTAATCCATTTATTTTACAATGGATTTCTAGTTTCCAATATAAAGTTTGAAGGCTGCAAGTTCTAAGCCTACTAACTAGAAGAAAGTCTTGCTAAACTCTGCCATTCTTACAACTAATTTTACCTAAGTCTGGGCTGTTTTGGATTCTTGCTTCCTGCACATATGGGTATTAAACAAATTTCAATAATTAGTGTGCATTTGATTTGGCTTCATTTTCCTTCATTTATTTCCTGCCAGATCTATTACTTGGTCTTTGGAATTGTGTTATCAAGATGTCAGGAATCTGAGATTCCTTTATGCTCCCATTTCTGGTTTTCCTTTTCCTCCCTCCTCGCTTTTTTCTTTGGTTAATTTGATACTTTGCTTATTAAATGTCATATTATTGCTTTGGGCAACTGCTAGAACATGTGGATTGAAACTAAGAGAAACTGATCTAGTAGAGAAAATGCAAGGAAATTAAATATATATATATATTTCCAGAATACTTAGCTGATTTCCTATTAGGGGGGAAATGTCTTTTTGCGTGGTTTTATGTACATACTGTTGTAAACTGATTTTTTAAAAAAAGAATAACGATATATATGTATTTTTCTAAATAAAAAAGGGAAGTCATTTGCCTAAAAAATGAGGTCATCCTGTAAACTGCTGTAGAGGATATATTTTCACACATCACAGTCCTAGTTTTGCTATATTGATAAGAACTTAAAGAAAAAAGAGAGGCAAAAGCAAAACAAAATAAATATCAAATTTATAAATATCCCAACAAGCATCACAGTTATGAATATCCTTATCCAACAATACCCTGTAGTGCAAACGAGTTCTTAATGCAACCTCTTCTTTTTTTTATTGGCATGGCTTGGTCTCAATCATTTTCAAAGTTGTCATTTTCCTATTCCTGAGCAACTTGTTAACCTGTTTGCTATAAGTTTCTTTCAAATTTTATTCCACCTCCATAGCTCAGTGGGTAGAGCATGAGGCTCTTAAACTCAGGGTCACGGGTTCAAGCGAAATATGCAGTAAAACTGCAGCCACCTCGCCTCAAGTATGGCTCAGTGAAGGTCCATTGCCGAGGGAAATCCTATTAATCCAATCGTGTTTTGGCTGGTCTGACCGAAAGCTACTATCTCTCTCAGGATCTGATCATTCCCAGAAACATGATTTCTGCTTCCCTCACTCCCAGGTGCCTACAGTAGACAAGTCCTCCTTCCCCAAAGTTAGAGAATCACTCGTTAATCTTTTTAAAGAAACATGCAATGGAAAGGTTACTTTAACGGTAATATAATTCTTGGGAATAGTCTCTGAAAATCACTGTCTGATGATGCCTGCTTCTGTTCTACCTGGGCACCCTTTCAAGGCTGCTGATCTTGTGTGGCAGGGGGAAATTGCATGATCTTAGTCTGGCCTCTTGGAATTTTGTCCAGCAGTTTAGATTGGAGCTGCAGAGATGTTGTGAGGTTTGTTTATTTGTTTGTTTGTTTGTTTGTTTGTTTTTGAAGTGCCAGATCTACAGTATGCAAAATGTTTTCTACCTCTTTTACTTCTTTAGGACCTATTGCAACCAACTGCATACCTGAATGTTTGATAGCTTGTCAATCTCTCGCTCTTTCTCCTTCTCTCCCTCCAGATATCCTGCAAGTGAATTATTTGCATTTCTATATGACATCTTTTGAAACTTACCACATGCTTTTTCAAGACATGTCTGCACAAGTTGGATTAAAAAAAAATCTATGTGAGTCCTGCCACAGAAAAATAAATATTGTTGCAATGATGCTTCAAAGTGACAGGGGATGGGAAGGTAAGCCGTAGGAAAAAGTGTGTGTGGAATGAAGTTATGGGAAGAAACTATATAGCAAGAAACAGAATGTGGTGACCAGGAACCAGTTCACATATATGAGCATGGGTCAAATATACATCAATATGAGCAAACAGAGTCTGGGGTGGCACATGCATAATTTTATTTTGCCAGATTTTGGTGGGAACCGTACCTCATTTAATCTTTTTGAACATAGTAGGTAAGTGGCAACAGTTTTACTCATATATGTTTGTTTCTGTTTAATAGTGAAATACCATGTATGTTTCGTGATAAGCTAACTGGGACCTACTCATAGGTACATGTGTACATTATTGCAGCTTTGGGGATTGTTTTGTTTTTTACCTATTTTTGCTATTTTTTTATCATGTGTTGTTTTATTACATTTCTGTTAGCTACCATGGGGACATGATTATGTTAGAACATATATACCACATATATGCACGAATTAGCAGCATTTTTAATATTTTTTTGCATGTAGCAATAGACCTGCTTGTTCTTAGAAGTAGAATAATTTATTTGTAAAGGCAGAGTGGAATCTGGCCCCAGGCTTTCAACTTAGCTTTAATTTGCCTCATCATTTCCTTTCTTGTGCATGACCAGGGTCTTTCCCTCAGTCTTTGCTATCTTAAGAACCCCCAGCTCCTCAGCCTCAGACACTCAGTGCTTTTCTTCCCAGAAATTAGCCAATCCCCAGCACCAAACGTTTACCAGTCAGCCCATGATTATAGCAGTGAATGGAATTCTTTATGTGAGAGCAACATCTCAGCTGAATTGTACCCCAGAGCCCAAACATGTCATTCGGAGTCTGTCTCTGAAAATCAGTGAAGTCACTGCTGCCCAAGAGACTTTCCAGGATCAGGTACACTGATCTGAACAAAACTGAACTCCAGTCCCTTGAGGAGGAACTTCTGAAGGTCACTCACCAGAGTAGGAATTCTGAAAGAGTGACCAGACATATTGGATGTGATTGCTTGTCCATCTGATAATATGGACATTGTGCTTCACAGGACAGCATGGAGCCTTCAGATCTCTTGACTTGATGTTTGACCTTAAATAGATCATTCAAAAGTGAAGCTTTCCCCTTTAAAAGAGACATTCTGGATTTTTTCCAGGTAGTTACCAGATTAACTTGCCTCCATTTAAAAGTAAAACTCCCTATGCTTCACCACCCAAGTGCCATGTCCAACCAATTCACTTGAGCCTTTGACAAAGCTTGACAGCTAAGTTAAGTTCTGTGTGATTCAGAAGTCAATACGAATAAACTGAAGGCAGAATTGTTCACCCTCTGATTATGACAATAAAAGAATCAAGAGAGAATCCTGCAGATCACAGTCAATGCACCCACGAGTCAGACAGACAGGCATTGGTCCTAAGTGCAAATCACAGCACAATCAGCTAATTTTCTGGGTCCTGTTTGTACAATGGATGCTTTAGCTTTGACCAACAGGATTTTCCATTGGTTCTAATATTGGGCTTAAAGTGCTCTAGCCTGCAAGATAGCTCAGTTGGTAGACCATAAGGCTTTTAATCTCAGGGTTGTGGGTTTGAGCCCCCCATTGGGCAAAAATATTCCTTCATTGCAGGGGGTTGGACCCCCGTGGTCCCTTCCAGTTCTATGGTTCTATTGGGCCCTAGAATCTGAGAAACTGAAGCACTTCCAAATGCCTAGAATTACAAAATAACTATTTTAATTGATGGCAAATGATAACCATGAATCTTGTAATAGTAATAAAGAAACCTCTGAGAATGCAAATGAAGAGGCTGGTAAATCAACTGATATATTCCTGATCATAGTTTAATTGACCAACTTTTTGTAGCTTGCTCATTTTTATTTGTTACACTACACTATGCTTTAAATGAGTTTCTATAGGTGGCCTCTTACTTTTACAAAGATTCTCTATTGTTGCTGCTTTAAAGCAGCCTTCCCCAGCCTGCTGTTGTTGGACCCCAGTTCCTCCAGCCAGCATAGTCTATGGTTAGAGATTATGGGAATTGTCATCTAAAATATCTGGAGGGTGTCGGGTTGAAGACGGCTGCTAAAAATATTGCATCATATCATTTTATTTTATTTTTAGTATCTAATGTTTCTATAGGGAGCATGTCACCTCCTGTATTGACTAGAAAGGTGATTAATATGTTATTGCTAAATAATAATAAGAAATAATGATTAGATTATATGAACTTCCATCAACTGTCACTGCAGAATAGAAGAATGCACTGAAGTTCCTCACTGGATCAATATGACTTCTGTATTAACAATACAGTCATTTAATTTAATTTATTTCTGAAGACATTTATATGTTCTGATTGTGTTGCATAGTGGCTTTTCACAATATCCCCAGTACCACATTTGATGGTTAGGAAATGGATTGCATTAATATTTTTATTCCATACGCCACATAATGGAATGATGTCTATGAACATGATGCAAAATCCATTATTATATATTTAGGCCATTTATTGAGTTTACTCACATTCTGAAATATTGCTAACAATACCTATTAATAAGTGTCAATGGTGTGTGTGTTTGTGTTCAAAGTCAAAATTCCAGATCATGTATGTATGCTGCAAAACCAATTTCTGCAAACCAACTGGAGAAATTATTTCACTACCAAGAGAGAACAACCTAATTTACTTTCCAGCTCCACAGCCATCGTCTTCTAGCCACCTTGCCTGGTACTCATCTGCTTAATGATGAGTCTGGTATTGATTTTGAGAATAATGATCAAGGGTAAGGTTGTGGATTAATGATGGACTGGGAGGAGTTGATAGCTATAAGCAGAGCCAAAGGCAGTTAACCTCTTCTAGCCATTAGTCCCAAGGTGCTGCTGAGTACTGACTTACTTCTTGTCATTATAAGGAATGTAATGAAGACTAAAAGCAAACTACAGCCTAATGGTTTGTGATGGGGGCCTGGAAGAATAGAGACAATAGTCAGTCAGATAAAACATTTGACAAATTTTGACCAAACTCAGTAGTCCTGTTATATTGTACATGGGCTTTTAAAATGTTTTGATAGAATTATTTTATTGTGTATTTTAATTATGTATGGATTTTATAATTGATTTTATACTTCTAAACTTAGAAGCAATTTTGGCATGTGAGCAGTATATAAATACAAAAAAATAATAATTAATTAATATTAATTGCATTCACGGAATGCTCCAGGAAGAAATATCTGCTTAACTGTCCTCTAGATCCTTCTAATCACAAAGCTCTAGATTTTGGATCATGTATTGGGATCTCTTATGCCAAATATTTTGCTTGCCAAAGGCAGTGGTTCTTTTGGATTTGAGAGCAACAAGCAGTTGCTTGTTGGGTGAAGGCTGTGTGTTTTAGGCAAGCATTAGACATTAACATGCACAATATACCCTACTTAGACTAGAAAAAGGCAAACTACCAAGTTCTTAAACCTAGCTAGAATAAAACACATTCCAGACTGATTCATTATAATGTTCCATCTGCTGCCAAAGAATGCTTAGACACAGTGAATGATCCCCCTTGGAACTGGCTGATGCGTAGCACCCTCTCAAGATCTCTTAGTCTAGTCTGAGTTCTGCCTGACAGCATTGATAGCGCCTCCAGCTCTCATATTTACGTATCCTGCTGAATAAGGTAACTCATGCCCATGTGGATCACAGGTCAGTGGTCCCTAGGACCCTTCCATAAATAAGTCCCTAATTAGCGATGTATGTATTTAAAGTTTTCTGTTTTAACCATCAAGCTGAAAATGTGGCAACTGCTGCTACTTCCTCCTTTTTCTCTCCCTTGTCTTCCATGTTGTTTTCGAATGACTGGCAGGGGAAGACTATGGACAGAAATGCATGTTGTGCTGTATATTAATGTTGGCACTTCTCTTGACCAAAGCGTGTGCATTCTGTAATACAAGAGAACCAAAGAGTTTAACTGTTCTACAGCAGGTAAGGGAACCCATTCATACTTAGCTCTTTAATCATCATGCTATTCAATTAAGTGTTTCCTAGCAGACTGAACACTGTGAGAAACTTATAGATTTTCCTTGTCTGTTTTGCTTTTAGAGTCAATCAAATTGATGTGTCAAATTACCCTTTGTCCTGTATGAAATAGTAGCTAGAGTAGTTTTAATTTAACCTAATTTGAGGTGCCTTTTTCTATATCTGAGGCCTGTTTAAACCGTGTGCATTTCCCCCCTTTAGGAAGACAGCAAAGGGATGAAGATTACATATTTGGAATCCAGTGGCCATGTTCTGCAAGGCAGAACCACTTGCTTGCTCCTGCCAAGAAGAAAAACACCAAACTCCAAAAGAATTTGTAATGTTAAGACTTTATTTACATTCATAGTCTGGTTCTACATAATAGGTTTCTTGCAGCCAAAGTATCCACCTTCCAAAATGCTGGAAGTAATTTAGGCTTTCTGCAAACTCAGGTTCCTAGATGTCAACAAATGTATTTTCATACAATAAACACTTATTTTTGCCCACTTAGATTTACAAGCAGTTCAAGATGCAGGTCAAAATAATTTCTGTTCTGGAAAGTGATGTGACAGTGTTGGGGAAGGTAAGATGACTGCTTATCCTTTAGATTTCTGATTGCATCCATATACAGACAGTACTAGTATTCAATAACACTAGGCATTTGGCATTCCTCCAGCAGTGTATTTATATATTGCATTGACCTGCTTTTGTTCCAGCTCATTAAATATAGCTGATGTCAATGATCGCGGGGAATGGACTGTCTGCAGTGGTCTAAAGGATTAGAGTAGCTGCAGCCACTTGCCACCTTTCCTAGACCAGTGGTATTCATTGCACAGTCTATATACCTTGCAATCCATCTGCTTGTCTGAACACTCTCTGAGACCAATCACTCACTAAGGCTAAGGCAGCCCAAGAAAAGCATATACACCCATATACTTTTCCACATGTGTGACCCTTAATATCAGTTCAATGCAAGGTGTTGCTGCTGCTGAATTAAAGGACAGGTAGTGGCTGACTTGTGATGCGGGTGGCGCTGTGGGTTAAACCACAGAGCCTAGGACTTGCCGATCAGAAGGTCGGCGGTTCGAATCCCCGCGACGGGGTGAGCTCCCGTTGCTCAGTCCCTGCTCCTGCCAACCTAGCAGTTCCAAAGCACGTCAAAGTGCAAGGAGATAAATAGGTACCACTCCGGCGGGAAGGTAAACAGCGTTTCCGTACACTGCTCTGGTTCACCAGAAGCGGCTTAGTCATGCTGGCCACATGACCCAGAAGCTGTATGCTGGCTCCCTTGGCCAATAAAGCAAGATGAGGGCCACAACCCCAGAGTCGGTCACGACTGGACCTAATGGTCAGGGGTCCCTTTACCTTTACCTTTTAGTGGCTGACTTGTACCAAGTCATCATCCCATGTATATAGGTGGTTTGCAAAAGAAATATAGAATAAAAATGGGTTGATGCAAACCAATAGAAAGGGACATCATTCTCACTTCTTCTCTTGCAGAATTGGGGCTTTTTTTCCAGCCAGAACTCGCCAGAACTAAGGTGGATGCCATTGCAGTTCTAAGAAAATGAAAGTGGTGTTCATGGTGAGTTTCGGCACCTCTTTTTCTGGAAAAATAGCACTGTGCAGAATACCGGGGTGCAGATGGGAGTCCGAGAGAAGAGGAAGCAGGATGATCTCAGGGAAAACCATTCCTCCTTTCTGACCTTGTGAACTTCTCTCAGCATTTTCATGCCATATCAAACCAGCAGCAGCACACACAGCCTCCAGCCAACAGCATTTAACTGCCAAGGTCATGGCAGGATAATTGACAGTGCTAGCAGGCAGAGGAAGCAGGCTTTTTTGGAGTTAAAGGAGGCAGAATTAAAGAAATACTGAGTAATATTATGATCTTAGGAGCAGAAGTGTATAAAGGTACAGCTTTTTAATGCTAGAACACTTGCCGTTGCTGCTATGCCAAAGCACCACTTCACACCATTGTAATTAAATATATCTATTCAGGATCAGTGTAGCTAAAATGACGGCTGAAAGAATTATGGCCAGATTCTCAAGGGGTAAAGGGTCACATTACTGATGTATCACAGCTACATTGCACAACTGGTTCTAGACCCAACAGTGCAGAGAATCAAACTTCCTGCTCATTTTCTACCATCCTCACTGTGGCAGACAGGGACATTTGCACACATTGCGTGTCAAGACCCTGCAGCCACCCCCTCATTGGGAAATAACACACACAAGGACACGGATATTAGGTTTATGTTACTGGGCAAATTTGGCCACAACTTTATTGAATTACAGAGTGTGAGCGATATTGGCTTAGGCATTGATTGGACCTGACTATATCTGACTCCTGCCCGATGCGCAGGAAGTCCGGTAAGGGTAAACCACCGGATGGAGGAGCCCTGTCAATGCATACCAACTCAAGCTCCCCCTGGTGTTCCCGTCGGGGTAGTGTTATGGCCCTAGCTCACAAGGCCCACCGCAACTCCTCCCCACTTGGAAGTGAAGCGGATTTTTCATCCTTTGCCAGTTCCCCATACCTTAGAGCAAGGCATGCTAAAGCAAAGGCAAATTGGGACTCAGGTCTCACCCTGCCTAGGAGAGATGCAGCAAAGGCCCAGGAGCAACAAAGCAGAGTATATCCCCTCAGTTAACTCCTTCCCTTCATGGCCATTTGGGTTCCCCATTACACACCCAGTCCGTCCATGGCTTCTCCCTGCCCCACCCCATAGTAGAAGTAATATGTGTACACCCGTGATTTCTGATGTATTTACACTTCACAATTTGAAGCGAACTTCTTATCCAGTGGTGGCTTTGCACCCGAGTGTTACTGATCCCCCTACCCACTGCAGCCCCTGTTGCCTTCCAGCTGCTCCTCAGGATTGGGGGACCCGACAGAACAGTGAGAGATAGGTCACTGGAGCTGCAGAATCAGGTGCCCCAACTTTGTCGGAACGTAAGTGCTTTCTACTCGTGTTAAGTCTCTGTTGGAGATGTGTGGAGGAGCAGAGTTTCAGTTGTAAACAGAAGCAATGCTTCAGTTGTAAAGCTGCTGATAATCATTCTTGCTACCCTGTTTCCTGCATCTACCTGCTGGCCTGTAAAGCATGTTGGAAGAAAAAGAGAGCTGCGACAGCAAAATCCATTACATCAGAATTCCGGCAAGCTGTGTTAATGTATTGGCTGCACTGTGAGTGCTGTACACCTGCGATGCCTCAAGGTGGGGGTTGGGTGGTGGTTTTGTTTCAGTTTGTATATGCTGCAAGATACGCTGCGGAATCCTTGACTGATGAACTTCTTTGACGGATGACTGAGCCCAAGGTGCCCATTAGCGCTTAAGTATTTCACCAATTATATGCAGACACTAACAGCATCTTAAAGGTTAAATGTATTTTCATAACTCTGTTCACATAAGCAAATCCACCTTAGGATTAACAGTGATTTATTCTTGTTGGTTATTGACGATAAACTGCCAAGAGGCAGAAAGATAATTAACTCAGATATAATGATTCTGTGACCAATTATATTGGATATATCTGAGATCATTAACTCTGCATCTACAACAGGAAGCAAAAACACTAAGCAAAATCATTTTTAGAATTACTGAGTCATAATAATAAGAAAGGGAACTAATACAATACAACAGCAGGTTTGATTGGCTTCACTTAGCCCTTTTGCTTAGTGCTAATATTATTTGCCAACTGTGCCTGAAAAGGAGGTCCTTCGTTTCTAACTGCTTAATAATTTGTTTTTATTAAATGTTTGAAACAGGGATTTTTACCATTACCATCTTGAGAGCATTTACCCAGTATAAGCCACATATCAGGGGTATAAATTTATGAATGCGCTATGGAGATATATAAATGTCGGTTAAATTAATAGGATGGATAAGCAGGTTTGTTCATACACTGGCTTCAATGGAAATTAAGCATGCCTTGAGATGCCCTGGATTGTGCCTGTGATAAATTACATTTATAGCACCATTTTGGAGGGTAATGGGAACAGTGATGGAGGGCAGAAGAAGAAGAAGAAGAGTTTGGACTTGATATCCCGCTTTATCACTACCCTAAGGAGTCTCAAAGCGGCTAACAATCTCCTTTCTCTTCCTCCCCCACAACAAACACTCTGTGAGGTGAGTGGGGCTGAGAGACTTCAGAGAAGTGTGACTAGCCCAAGGTCACCCAGCAGCTGCATGTGGAGGAGCGGGGAAGCGAACCCGGTTCACCAGATTACGAGTCCATGCACACTAGAACCCACTGCCACCTTCCACATTTACTGCACTCTTTATCAAATGCCTGAGAAGGACTTTTGTGAACTAGCCCAATCACACTAGTAAACAGCTTCCCAAGAATCAGCCATTCCATGCTATGTGCAATGAAACTCCTGGGATTGACTTGCCACAGCCACCTGTCAACCAGAACCCACCTAAGTCAAGAGTCTTTATAAATGTTAGTATTCCTTGGTCCCTTGGTCTCTGACTATTCAAGATGCTGTACTGCTTGTGTTTGAAGATGGCCCTAGACTTTTGTGAGTAGCTTACCTAATAAAATAAATACAACCTTTTAGAAAATTTAAGCATCCTTCTGTCTCTTCACTTGTGCTTGCCCTCTCTGAAACCCTGTGTTTAGTAAACTCTCTTCAGTTTGGCTGCTGAGGTTCTTGTGTGCATTCGGGCCAAACTGAAAAGGATATTCCCCTTCATGCTATGTGTGCATCAGATGGGATTTGGTAGAGAACAGCAAGCTACATTGGGCTCGGGTGAGAGACGGGTGACACCCTTGTGTTTCACTTCCACTTAGAGCAATATAAGTGTAATGGCAGCTTGCCTGAGAGCCTCTTGCATGGCTGGCCTACCTAGATTGGCAGTCATGGCAAAAGAAGAGTAGAGCAATTTCCTTACATGGGTGACCAGATGTTAAGCGGGACAAAACTCCTTCATGCATATCAGCTGTGTAGAAGAGTGAATTTTGCCAGATGCAGCTCATCATGCATGGATCCTCCTTTTCAGGTCATTCAATGGAGGCTGCAGTTATTTGAGATTTATTAATGTATGCAATCAATAGGATCTTGAGGGTAATCCACTCTGAGGAGCTGACTTTGATGGAAGATGCAGAATTGTTGCTGTTGTTTAGTCATTTAGTCGTGTCCAACTCTTCATGACCCCATGGACCAGAGCATGCCAGGCCCTCCTGTCTTCCACTGCCTCCCGCAGTTTGGTCAAACTCATGCTAGTAGCTTCGAGAACACTGTCCAGCCATCTCATCTTCTTTCGTCCCCTTTGCCTTGTGCCCTCAATCTTTCCCAACATCAGGGTCTTTTCCAGGGAGTCTTCTCTTCTCATGAGGTGGCCAAAGTATTGGAGGCTCAGCTTCAGGATGTGTCCTTCCAGTGAGCACTCAGGGCTGATTTCCTTAAGAATGGATAGGTTTGATCTTCTTGCAATCCATGGGACTCTCAAGAGTTTCCTCCAGCACCATAATTCAAAAGCATCAATTCTTCGGCGATCAGCCTTCTTTATGGTCCAGCTCTCACTTCCATACATCACTACTGGGAAAACCATAGCTTTAACGATACGGACCTTTGTTGGCAAGGTGATGTCTCTGCTTTAAGATGCAGAATATAAACATACAAAATTATATATATATATATATATGCAGTTACTCAGGAACAAGTCCCATTGAACTTAGTGGGATATGCATCCAAATAAACATTCATGGGAGTGCACCGTACTGCATGTAAGGCCCAGGAACAGATAAAAAGCAGCACCTTCAAGGCAAAGAGATACAACAGAGAGCCTGTGGAGACTGTGCCCCCATGGAAATGTATTCCTTCCAGCTTAGCTCTACCAATTATAAAGCTGTCTCAGAGAACGCACATTTCAGAATTTACTCCTGCAAACTGCTACATGCCATAAAATATGTTTCACATATAGGGCACTGTCTCTATAGTAACACCAGCATACTATAAGCGCTGACTTTTCAGATAGGTATTGAAAAGGAAACCCATTGCAATTTATTTTTAGTTGGCTGGTTGCAACTTATCTGCTATTTTTCGTGATTGCGTTATGTAATTTAAATTGTTTTAGGAGTAATCCTCTCCAAAATTGCACTTGTATTAAAGTGCAAGCAAGAAATGTTTGAAATAAATAATACTGGCTGCAGCTAGACTAGATATTGTTGCTAACTAGAAGTCTTATAAGTCATTAGGCATAGATCAATGGCATAAGACATTCTGGGAAGGAAGTCTTCTCAGCTAAGTTTAATTATTTCAGAAAACAAATGAAAGGAAGAGCACAAAATATATTTAAAGTACGATGGGAGCCTTTTTAAAATAAAGCATTGAAATATACAGTTTCAGCATAACCTCTGGCCCTACACTTCTGTTACATTAAAAGATTTGATTTGGGTTAGCATATCTATGCATTGCTGGGACAAAGATGATATATAATATTTATGCTGTACTCCAAGGACATTTAGAATAACTTTTTAACTCTTACTGAGAATTAGTTTGTATATAATTGGTTTATTCATGATAAAGCTTTCCACACATTAATCACATACAAGAATGAAAATAGCTCATTATTTTTTCTATGCACACTATTGCATTTGCTTATACTTTCCCAGTAACTATATTGCATCTATATATATATTTGTAACAATAAAACAATACGGTGGGCTTTTCTTAGTTTTACGTTGACTGATGGTACCCTTTCCAAAGACTGCAAAAGTGCAAAAGTGCTCCTAAACTTCCTTTTCAATTCAGAAGGTTTTTGATCTGGACATTGCAGGAGGCTGATGCCTTCCAAGGCAAACTTTCACATTCTATTATTGCCCTCAAGAGCTATCAGCCAGCCTTGCCTTCGGAGAATAAATGAGCCAGGAACCTTGCCTTCCGTTTTCATTTGGGATTGCAATTAAAGAAGAAGTAGGATGCTCAGTCGGTTTGGTAGAAAACTGTGGCTGGTGGGTAAACAAAGGCTCCTCGATCTTCTCCAGTTGTCTTTTTCTGTGACACAATGTGCCCGAGGGCTAATGTAAAACCTTTAACTCTGCAGGTGTCTGGGCAAGACAATCACTGTAAAGCTACTCTCCCAAAGACATTTTCAACTTGATTACCCAGCAGCAAGCAGGCCTGGAAGGCTTTATGATGTTTGCAACTGCTGCCAAATGTGACCCTCCTTTAGAAGTTGCAGGCTTTTATCTCCAGGATTGCATCCAGCTGGAAGCTCAGCGAAGGGATGATAAAGCAAAGCTAAAAGCAGCACTGCTACATAAAAAGTAATCTCTGTGATGCACACAAGTCAGGCCTCCTGACTGAGACAGTAGCCTTCTCCAGGTTTCATCCTGGCAACACACACGAAGGATTTACCCTGAGAAACATATGCTGAGCTGCAAAATAAGAATAATAAAAATGCTACTGTTAGCAAAACACATTATGAATCTCTTACTGTGATTAATGAAATCTTGCTTACCAAATAACTCTGCACAAGGCAAGGGCACCGTTGTCCAGGCTTTGCAGATGGAAAACTTTTGAAGTGAAGATGCCATTTCATCTTCTTAGGAAGAAAAAAGAAGAAAGGCACATTGTAAGGGGCAGAGGTTTATAATATATAATGAGAATGAAAAGACAGAAATTATTCCCTCCCCCCTGACTTTCAGTATATTAGGAGGACTCTAGGCCATTTGTTTTAAAAGTAGCAGGTATAATACAACTACCACAGCCAATGGACATTGGACAAGGTTGCCACTACAGTTAAAGACGGTAGATTCAAGGTGTCGTGAAAGAGCAGCAAATTGTTAGTTACTGCATCATTCCTGTTGTCCTTTTGCTGCCAGAGAGGAAGTACGGTATTTTGAAATCTGAGAGAGAAAATCCCAGAAGCACCTCTTGCTGGAAGTAAAACATCAACAACTTAAATTACTAACGATTGGCTGTCTTTCCATGGCACCAAAAAATCAGCTGTCTGAAGTGGCTACCTCACTTTATCACATTGACACTAGGGTTTGTTTTTCCCTCCTCATTTAGTCTGAATGGGTACGCTAGCTTAGTAATCAGCTTGCAAAGCATAAAAAGAATTTAATTCTTCAGTGCTGTTGTGCCTTTGGCAAAGTGTTGGTAGTCAGTAGCATTTTCTCTGCTCGGCTCTCAGAAAATGTCTAAACCAATTTATTAGATATTTTGATGATGATATATTATTTACTCTGTTCATGAATCCCCTCCCATGAAACATCCTGAAATGATTAACAAAGGAATACATATGCATAGATTTTCTAGCCCAATAAAGTCAAGGACAAAAATCTCTATTGGAAAAAGAAGGTATTCAACAATCGCTGTCCGTCTGATATATAATGTGGGGAAGCTCCAAATGGTGGTTACTATCACACTAAAGGTGTGATTGCTACATGCATGGAATGGTTGTTCTGATAAGATGGTATCTGTATGAGCCCTTTTCCTGCAGACTGTAGTGACTGGGTATATAAGAATTGAAGCAATCCTTTGGGAACTTAGATATAAAAACAGAGGTCTAAAGTTTAAACACTAGGTTCACTCAATAGTCTTGCACATGCCAAAATGGATATTTGTTCAATTTTAGACCACTTTATTCTTTGGACAGCAACAGGCACTAGTATCATGCCTCCCATTGATATATCACAAACTGCTTTTGACTTCACCCTCAGTTTCAAAAGCAATATGACACACTGTAGGAAGAGGATCTTTTGTTAGAGAAAAAGATATTTGAAGATCCCTTAGGCTTACAAAACTAGTTTTATGGCTCTTTCTATCCTGGTCAAAGTCTGCAGGTCAGGACATGTATAATCTTACTTCGTAATAGGGGCAGTCTAGAGGGCAGCTGGAATGTGTGATATGCATCTATATGGAGCCAAAGTGACCCAATATTCATAAAATAAAATAAAATTAAAATAAAATAAATAACCACCTTATACTTTTTCAGGAAGTATGATAAAGTAGTTTGAAAAGAAAGTATTAGTCATAAACCTAATGGCCTTATATTAAATATATTTAGGATAGATTTGCTGCTTTGCATTGTTTGAAAACATAGTGTTGTGAAGGTATGGGAG